CTCGACATACCACCAATTAGCATGTTAACGGAGGGTACCCTGATCAGGATTCTCGGGCACCAATGACGGTCGCTATTTGTTACCGACTTCCATCACTCAGCGTGATCATGACCATCAGCTCGCTACCAACGCAAAAGTGCTCGCATACCTCCTGCAACGGGAAAACTGCCACTATATGTCCACCACAAGGGAAAACGGAGAACGTCGAACAGCTCGGGAGTTCCTGGAGTTGCTTGTCTCACAGAGTCCCGAGATACGGGTGTTGTTGGACGTCGGTGCGCAGATGCTGGAACTTAGCAATTTCGCACTGGCCACTGCCTGGCTGGGGTTGAAACAGGATGCGCAGGCTGCTATCTACTTCGACGACGACGACGACGAGTTGACGGTGTATGCCAGGAATGGAACTACACAACCTCTGCGATCCTCTCCGTTTTCTCAACAGCTGGGCAAGTGTGTCGTATATCTTGACGATGCCCATACGAGGGGCACTGACATCAAGTTCCCATTTGGTTTTCGGGCTGCTGTCACACTAGGCCCCAAGGTCACCAAGGATCGTCTGGCTCAAGGTAAGACAGCAGTCATTCTTTATATCACCCACGTGACCTGAGGTATATAGGATGTATGCGCATGCGCAAACTTGGACATGGACATTCGGTCATGTTCTTCGCGCCTAGAGAAGTTGACCAGAGCATACGATCCGTCAGCTCTAAGGACGACACGGATGTAATTGACGCTGCGGACATTTTACGGTGGACAATCCTGGAGACGTGTGAGGAGATCCAGCACCGTGCTCCTCAATGGGCTCAGCAAGGAGTGGATCATGCATCCCGCTATGACGCTTGGTCTAGTTACTGTGGCAACGAGTTCACATCCCAACAACTCGCCGAGGCGTGGCTCCAGCCAGAGGCAAAATCATTGGAGACGCTTTATGCCCCAGCGCAATCTGACGGTCAACTTGACACCAGCGACCCACTCATCCAACAAAGACTTGCTGACCTTGGGATTCCATATATTGGTCTCTCCGGGATGGACGAGGAGCAAGAAAGAGAGGTCGTATATGAAATAGAGCAGGAGAATCAACCTGAACGACCCCCCAAGCTTCCTGTGGAAAGCCATCGGCTTCATCACGACGTAGAAACCTTCGTGCAGCTGGGCTCGATTCCCCAAGGATCTACCGCTTTCCTCAAGGTCTTCGAATCGCTCAAGAATACTTCAGCAGCTTTCACAGAGCCTGACCGCTGGACTGATGGTGTCTTTGCCACTGCGGACTTCTGCAATACTGTCAAGCTAGGACCAGGAGCAAAAGCTGACGAGTATCTACGTGCAGTCAACTGGGTCATCTCCAGCCATGTCGTCCAACCCCCAATTCTCGTCGTCGTTAGCCCATACGAAGCCCATCAATTGCTTCCAAAGATCAGGTTCAGCAAGACGGTTCACCTTCACATATACACCCCTCGCACCGTTCAGTCCATGCGACCATGCGACGATCTGAAGCTATACAGCATTCCAGCTGTCCCCGATACCTGGACTGCTTCGTTGTTCCCTCAAGTTGTCGATCATCTCAACGTCTTTGCGGGACAACTGTACCTGCGCGACTACAAGACGTATATCCAACTGTGTCGCTTCCTTTGTCTCCAGGCCAGAGACCTCGAAGCTGACGGGGATTTCACGATCCAGAGTGATGGGTTCATCAAACCAGAAGATCGCCCGCCCAGGGCTCTTGGCTCATTCCAAGAGTCACCGATCCCTTCGCTGAAGAAGTTGTTCGGTTTGCGTACAAAAGGGATGCTCTATGCACCTACACATATGGGCAAGATCCTCGATGCGCAGTTGCTCACAGAGGACGATTTCCGTGATCAGATTTCTGATGGTGGACGGAATAGCATGGATTCGACGCTGTGTAAGTAATCGAGTTGTTAGAACCACTCGACTGTACGACGAAGTTGACGATATCTACAGAGGACATTTTCCTTGGTGCACCCGCTCTGCCTTGTTTCTAAGTTGGTCTTGCCGTTTGAACTCTTTCAGTAGTTTTGATCCTAGTTACCTATAGCAAGTCGTAGTAGGCGTTAGACGTTCGAGGATAATCATATCATCAAGGCAAAAAGGCATATCAAGATACTTGGATCTATCTATTGTTGACATAGTCAACCAAAATCATGTTCATACCTCCTCCCCTCTGCTACATGCCTCTGCGAGGCTCAATTCAATCGCCAATCTCAAATCATCATCCATCTCCTCCGAATCAGGCAAATTCTGTTCGACCTTGGATGTCTTGTTCTGTGCAATGTCGGCGCTTAGGTGAGACATGGCAACGACAGGAATGGTGATGCAAGAGTGGGGGGCTGACGGGCCGGGGGAAGGTGGGTTGGATTGGAGGGGCGTGCACCATGCTGAACGAGATCGATCGGGGCTGCTAGACACAAGGTGCGGTGCGGACATGCCTCTAGAGCTGGATATTGAAGAGAGGGTGGGGCTGATGATTGGAAAGTCCTCTAGGGAGGATGAAGACGTGCTACGCATAGCAATCGCACTGCAAGGTGTTCCTGGTGCTGTGGTCAGCGATCTTAGCGGACTGACGGTTGTGCCCGCCTCCATTGGCTCTGGAACGAAGGGCGGAGACACCTGTGCTTTCTCATTCAAGCTCGTATGCACGATGCGGGGATACTGGTGGGCATCCGAATGGCAGGTAGAGCTCGAGGACGAGGCGTGTGACGACACCTGTGTGGATAGTTGTGACCAGGAGGTACCGCGAAAATCATCGAAATCGCCTTCAAATGCGCACTCTTCCCTTGCCATCGTCAGCTGACGATCCTCTTCCTCTTGGCGCGAGAGCATCAGAACATATTCGACGGCCTCCAACTCCGAGAGACCAAGAGAGTCTAAGGTGGATCTGTGCTCTCGCTCGTGGCCATATCTACGTTGGACATGGGCTCTCTCATACTCGAGCTCCCCGAACGATTCATGGATATCTTTGTGCATCTCGTATTGCTCTGCCCAAGGAGTTAGATGACGGCGTAGGGATAGACACAAAGGAAGACTTACTTTGACCCTTTGAGGTCAGGCTCTTTTTAGAATGGGAGTGCTTGGTTTTCTTATGCTTGTGCTCGCGTCCGCGGGCCTGCCCAAGATTCCATGTCATAGCCCGATTTCCTACGATGATCACCACGAGTTCTTTATCGAGCAGTACTTGGCTAACGCCGTCCCAGTCGTGTCCAGGTGCGGGGCGAGGAGCGGGTGACATGAAGTAGCGTAGAGGTGAGAGTGTGAGAGTGTCCCAAACTGTGGTGGTCCCGCGTGCGGAGCCAGTGGCGAACACCATGGGGCTCCAAGATATGGCAGTGACGCCTCCGTCTGTGTGCGCCTCAAACTTGTGCACAGGTGCGATAGGGAATTGCGAAGATAAGGGGACGTTGGCGTCGTAGATGCTAATAAATCCTAGGTGATCACCGATGATCACCGTGTTCCCGTCGCGTTCCTGAGTGGATGTAACCAGCTCTACGACAGAGATACTGCCGAAGGAACTGTCCCCAAAGCAGGTGATCGTCATTTGACCGGATTGCATGTCGGCAAAAACACGGTAGAGTAACGAATGATTGGAATATTGGACGAAGAGCGACGCGCTGGATTCTGTGCTGCGGTATAACCACGTCTTTGCGATACGTTGTTCTGGTGCTGATCCAGCTGTTTGAGCGGGAGGCTGATGATTATCGCCATGAATTGGAGCGGTGACCCTGAGTTGACGAGGGGTAAAAGTGAGATGTTCGCCAGTTGTATCTTGCACCTCCAGGTTGAAGAGGAGGACGTCTCCGCTGTTCAGTGCGCCAGCGATGAAACCCTCGCTCAAGCTACCTGCAATACTGATAATTGGGTCCGCAACAAGTGAAACCTGCTGTTTTCCACTTGACCACATGAGTGCAAGAGTCCTGAGGTCCCATAAATTGACACGGCCATCAGCTCCGGCAGACACGAGTGTGTTGGAAGTGGGGTCTGGGAGTAGTTGCTGAACGGCGCTTTCGTGTTGGTCATTGACGCTGCATCTGATGAACCTGGGTACGGCGCGGCCCGAATCCATGACTTTGTTTGCTACAGTCACTGCGACTTCGCCGTTGCGTTTGCCCCAGAATACGCGTGCAGTGCCACCATCAGATAACATTGCGCACGCGGAGACGTTCGGCGTAAATTCGGCATTGGGGTTCCCAATGCCCAATCCGGTCCCGGAGGCGTCGATGTAGCCTTTCAAGATCTTACCGCTGAGAGGTAGTGATCTCGCAACAATGCCATACTGGATGGACGATGTGAGGAGGCCATTATCCGACATCAGGTGCACTCCGTCGATCGTCGAGTCTTGAGGGGTATGGGTGAGCGTGGGGTTCCGAGAACGCTCCCAGCGTCTGATGAGGGGCGGGTTGAGTGGGCCTTACATGACCGATTAGTCCTGAAGAACGTACCGCCTGAAACTATACCGCAGGATGAACTCTTTGCGCCACGTATTCTCCATCCTCTTCAAGGAGAGTATTTTCTCGTTCTCGAGCTCACGCTCGGGACTGATGGAGAGGAACTGGTTTAGGAATGCCCGAAGCCAAGTGTTGTCATCCTTTACGTGTTCATAGAGGGATCTACAAGTCGTGGCGAGTGTAAGAAGGGAGGGCGGTGTGAGATATGAAGTGATATGGGTGAGCGACTCGGCTGGAACGTCGAGTAGGAGGGATTCTGTGCTGTGTTGGTGTCCATGCTGGGGGTGATGATATGCTGAGGTTTGGAATGTTTTTGCTTCTGAAGTAGGATCTTTCCGGAGAGTATGTATGGGTCTTGTTGGCATATAATAGCAGGAAAGATCACAAAATTTGTTGCGTTCGCAGACAATCGAGCCTGCGAGATATTGGTGGGAAGGAGTCAACCAAGACTCGTCAATTAGGCGGGTCCTGAGAGACAGATGACGTAATATCGTAGCACGAGACTCACGTGATGGTAACTGAACTCCCAACGCAAAAAAGACAAGGCCTTGCCAGGGTTCGAACCTGGGTTTTGAGAATACTGGAATGATTGTATCCGAATCAGAATCTCAAGTGATAACCACTACACTACAAAGCCGATGGGTGTCTGGAGTTCTGATAAATCTGACAACGTGAGCTGTGCCAGATCCCCAACTTCGGACACATTTGGCACTGCAGAAAGCAAGTTACACACCAGGAATTTCAATGTTTTAAGGGCATTGGAATATATTTTTGATGCCTCAAATATAATATTTCTCACCTACCAATAAGGGTATGTATAATACAATATTTTTTCAGTTCTATTCTGAAATCAATTCTCAGGCCCTCAAAACATTGAACTTCCTGGTGTTAGATACTATGAAAATCAGTGTGTCAAAACCTGGGCATCAATCCTGAGATTTCCAGAGAGGTCTGATGGATTGGGAAATCTGGAAGTGGACACAGGGTTCCAGACAATCTCTAGGGGGTCAGATGGGTAAGGGACTTTGGCTTCAGCTTATGTGCTGCACCCCTGTGTGAGTCCTGTCCCTTGATTTTGGGCAAGAGGTCAGAGTATCAGTCTCAAGTTCAACTGAAGACTGAAGAGGATAGGTCAGAGGGAAGTCAGAGACTTCAGCAGAAGGCAGGGATTGATATGGTTTAGAGTTGATATTTGAACTGAGGAAACATAGAGAGTGTTAAGATGCTAAGTCCTCTGGGCTGTCTGGAGTTGTCGGAGGCGGAGCGGACTTTGGCTTCAACTTATGTGTTGTGCCCTTGTCCAAGTTCAGCACATAATGTAGTCATATTATCACGAGGGATATGGCTGGCCCAGCCTGACAGTTTCACGATGCATACGGAAGGCCTGTCATGGGCCCGCCGAATGTATATTCAGTGTTGGTCAAAGTATGGGCAGGCCCGGCAGTGATCCAAGTCAAATATGAATGTGCTAGTGGATGAAAGTTGGTGTACATATGGACAGGCCCACACTAGATTCTATAGCCAAA